TGTTTCCCTGGTGATGGGATTATTGTTCTCAGAAACTTTAGCTGGGAGCCTTAGATGACAGTTACCATAGTGTTTGCACAGGCAGTAATAGGCCATGTGAGGCTTTGGTCAACAACAGCAATGGCTAATAGAGGCCTAGAGGCAGAGGGACCTGAAAACTATTCAGGTGGTACTGACACATATTAACAGCAAAAATATATACAGTGTGTATACAATACATTGCATTCACACAACAATGTTCAATTTCAACACTGCAGTTTTGTACTGAGCTCAGTGTTAAATACAAGTTGTTTCTATAAGTCTTCTTCAGTTAGCCTTGGAGCTCTTCTAGATATCCTAACAGAATGACTGAGATTCTCTAAATTTTCTAATTTGTAAGAGCTACATTTAAGTATATACTCTCAATAACCTTGCTCCAAAGGGAATTTCTCAACATATAAAAAGCAAAGCAAGGAAACCACAAGCAGGGAGATGATAACTGAAGCATCCCAAAGCTGAATGCAAACTTTACAAGTCATATTTTCCCAAATCTGGTTTATCCACTTGTTTTAGTTGATTTACCCTACATTTAAAAGCCAGAGAGACAAACTCATTTAAGCTAGACACCTTATACAGTATGTTAATCCGCTGTAGTTTATTTCTTGTGTATCCACATTCATCTGTACTGTTCAATCTACCCAGAAACAGTCAAACTATTTAAATAGTAGCTTTAATCAAATGCTGAACATGAGCTGATGCCTCCACACCTGAAGATTGCTGTGGCAGTGAGATGATCCCACTTTTAAAGTACAAAAGTTTTTTTCTCATGAAAACATGCTGTCACATGTGTGATCCTTTAATTTGGGATAGACACCAGAGGCCGTTTTCTAGTGTGATTATCTTAATATCCTGCAGCCAATCAGAACTTTTGTAGACCACTTTCTTGGCTTTCAAAATCATTGCTTCACTTAACTAAGAAAAAACCTGTTACAGACTGTAGACATTAGAATGAAACTGTATTTCTACTGTCAGCCACTGAGCCGTGATTTCCCAGTTCCAGAGCATTATGCTTAATACCCGCAAATGTTATAAATGCTTCAGAAAAAGCAAAGCAGGCACATCACCCTTTCTCCTCATGTTGTGGATGCCGTCATGCTCAGCGCATGATTGCGTGTGTCTGGCCATTAAGGCCCAGTGTTGCTGGGTTGGCCAGCTCAGGGTTCTATTGATTAAGCCTTTGGCATCCTAGGAAGATTTATTCTCTTATTAGCTGCTCCTAATGCCTGATCAGGACAGGTTAAAGGTCTGTTACTGCTTCTAGCTACATGATCATTTACACCCTTTCATCAGGACCAGGGGGCTGTATTTACATGATTAGCCTAAGGACCGAGCACTGGAACTGTGCAGCATGCAGAGAACTAATACTGATTCTTAGCAAAGCAGAAATAATATCCATTATTAACTTGTGCCATATAAGATGATTAATAGAGCACAACTGAATACGTTTAAATTTCAAAGATGAATTATTCATTTCCCTTCTCTTGTAGCCGAGCCAAGATGATATCTTCCCAACAAGTATTCTAAATTAGATTTCCAACCAATAGGATCAATAAAAAAAACATTACCAGCTGCTTTTGATTGATCACAAGCATTTTTATATAGATTCTTTATCCATCAGTCATGCACTGATCAATAACATGCAGTGGCAGAGGTGGTACATTCATCTTTGAGTTTTACATTGTGATTTTTTTCTTTATTCTCTTGCAACTCACAGTATTTTTTCTGTTATAATTTCATCATTTGTACCATATTTAACTGCAATTAAGATCACTAACACTTGCCCGTGGGCCACCCATTCCCTCTGTAGACTACACTGGACAAAGCAGAAACACACTCAGGTGTGTTGTTTAATCCTTTTGACTTCACTTAGGACGTGGTTACAGTAAATGTTTTTTCTATCTTTTATCATTTCACATCCAGACAAAATCCCCCAGGATCAGATTTTGCTCCTAGTGCTATCCAGTGAGCCAAACCACGTCCAGAGGTGATCGGACTTCTGAGCCGTGATTCCACAGAAGCATATCAAGCACAAAGCAAACGGAGCATCACACACACAGACGTGCATACAAAAACCCCCAATCACGCCAGGGTACATCATCTACTGTGGTTGCTTGGCAACCAAGCAGAGATACACACATACACAACATAATGGTTCATTTGTATCCAGCTTTGTCAGCAATGCATAGCCAAAAGTGAGGAGCTATTTCTCTAGCTTTAGAGGAGAAGAACAAGAAACTCCCAGTTTTATATATGACATTGTTATGACATTAGGTTTGTTTCTTCTGATACTGGCATATTTTAATAACTTTACTTGTATAATCCACTACCTATCCATGTTTTTAAAAGATTCATTAACATGTCTGTTCTTTATGTCATATAAAGAAAACAAAATACCAATCAAAATGCAAAGGACCACTGCTGTTTGGCGATTTTTTTTTTTTTGCATAATATAACACACCTAAAAATTCTTGTGATGCACAAGGTGTGTCACATGACCCTGAAAGCAGCTGGTGTGTCTTAAAGATGGTAAAATTCAAGTGTTTTGCTCAGAGCAACATGCCTCTCAACAGATCTCAGTCTTACATTTAAGGAGCACTTTTTTCATCTTCAACACACATCAGTTCTTCCACTGCATAGGTTTTTCAGGAGAACATTAAATCCAGTCACATCTTGAAACACAATTTTCCTACTTGCAATATGTGCATATTCAAAGAAAAATCATTTCTGAACTGTTAATGTGCTGACTGTGATCTGACACAGCTGAAACAGAAGAAGTGTTCATTTTAAACCCCAGCAGTCTGTGTGTGTTGGCTTAAAATGCGCAATGTGTAATTTCAAACATTTATTTACATAAGAGTCAGAGGAACATTTGGTAATTTCACACTGTTTATCTTCCTCCCTCTCTTCATTGTGACTGCTCTGTTTTGCTTATCACCTCTAACACTTGTGGTCACTGCCTCTCTGCAATCTTGACTCATCTCCACTCATTTGTTTATTCTCTTTTTGAAATATCCATTGCTTACGGCATAAATCCAATTTCACACAGCACTAAGGCAGGACAATATCTCTCATAAATGAAACCAAGCAAAGACAGCGTTTATTAGCGTCACCATTTCTGACATGGTATGAATATTTTTCAGGCAGTGGAGAGACAGAGTGGGAACATTTTCTGAAAGAACTTTTAGGATTTTTCCATCATAGGAACCTACCAAAACGAATCGAGCCATGTAACAAGAAGCAAAGGTGAAACTGCCTCCACTGCACGCATATATAACTCACATACACACGGCTGTATTTATTACTTTGCCCTCCCTATTAATAATCGGTTAGGTAGGCAAGGCACTACAAACTATGTCCTCTCTAAAATACTTTAAACAAAAACTTACCTTTGTTATCTTTATAAATGTAGGACTTATTTAAGGCCTGTTGTACTAGACTGCACTAGTTGTAGCTACATAGACCTAATAAACTGCCTACTGAGTGTAGTCAAATGCCACTCTCGGCACACAGACAATAGAGCGGTCACCAGAGGTGACCTGACAAGCAGATCAAGATTTCTCAATTGTCTGAGTCTCTAACCATAACAAGTGTGTCAGTCTGTGTGTTTTATAATACTCTGCTAGGTTTCTGTTCAAGGACATGAGTCCTGTCTCTTTGCATAATAAAGAAAATAATGAGTCAAAAGTTTATATTAAGAAAAAATGAAACATGAAAGTTCTTGAAAAGCTTACTTTTTCAAATATTATTTTGCACCCAACAAGGTCAAACCAAAGACAATAGACATATTGTTGTCCTTCCTCCATCGATATTCTTATTGCACCCAACTGAACACCAGACAAAGCTTCGGAGTTGCCTACGTTGAAATCCCTGCAGTAATTACTCAGAGCTACTGACCAGATTGTTGTGTTGTCACTGGCTTTTAATGACTCCTTTCTGATAATAAGAAACATAGATCATAGAGTCCGAATACAGTCAGTTCTCAAATCCGAGTCATCAGTGCTCAAATCCAAATGAAGACATGAGTCCTGAGGAGTCATCATTTCCCAAATCCAAATGAAGACATGAGTCCTGAAAATCAGGAATTGAGTGGGTCTTCAACTCAAGTACTACAACACTGGCCCATACAGAAACCTACAAGGCATAACCTGGAGCTGCCCATCGTTAACCCAGTGGAACTTGAAAGGGTGATGTGGTCTGTTCACTTTGCTTTTGTACTGTATTTCCCCTGTGTTGATCACTGTTCATATGAGAGCAGGGCTGAGCTCCTCACACACACACACACACCTGAGCAGACAGCTTTGAGTCAACATACACAATATTTGCCAACCCTGCATGCAACACAATCAGCCAGTAACACAGACTGTATGAGCAGTTTATCAAACAGACGTTGAACAAGCAGAACACAGACTTGTAGAACTTGACGTCTTCGTTGTTTTTACCCACAATCAACTTGGTGAGGTCCTTGTTTTGCCTCTAAACTAGTTTGACTGTTTCTTTACACACCATGTTTGTTGTGCTAATACTTGAGATGTGGTGACACTGAGGTTTCACCAATCCCTCAAGCAGCAGGAACTTGATTTTGTACTACCACCTGAGGGGCACCAAAATTTAGCTCCAGGAACTCATCTCAATAGCAGGTTGGAGGCCAGTGAAAGAAAAACCAGAACCCAGAAAAATGGAAACAGGTTCAGTAAGTTTCTACAGTGGAAAGGCCTAATGGTCTAGCAACAATAGAAACTGAACAGCTAAAGCAACAAATGTTCATTGTAACACTCTGTTCACATCTTTTACAGATTGGTGTCACTTGTTGAATAACGTATATCAAGCAGATGCTCCGACTGGAAGAAGACGAATCCACTACACGCTCTCTCTCAGGGCACTCACAGATACACACAAAAAGAAACCACTCTCTTATTTATGACTTGTATCTCCAGCTGACACCCAGCAGGCAAAGGACTCACCCTGTGAGGACAACCACAAAGTCCATTACATTCCAGCCGTTGCGGAGGTAGGAGCCTTTGTGAAATGCAAAGCCCAAGGCGATGATCTTAATGGCAGCCTCGAAGCAGAATATTCCAATAAAGTAGGGCTCTGTGTCATCCTACAAAAAGACAGAGAGAATCAGAGAGAGGATGAGAATGACAGAGGAATATCTTTTTGTTAGTGGTAAGAAAGTGGATAATGAAGCGTTCAGTGTAAGAGAGGGCAGTCAGTAAAAGAGAAGAACTCCTTTCACCTCCTGCACCAGCATGAACAGAAGTAGAGCTCTCTTCTTCAGATTAAATGGGAGTTACAGTAATAGTGAAAAATATTCACATGCACTGCAGGTAAAGCTAAAGGAAAACAGTGAAGTCTCAGGGCTGCTCATTTAATGTATTCAGAAAATAGGTTTTACTGTTTAACTGCAGCTGGTAGCAGACCACTAACTGTGCTAAATAAAAATATTCACAAGCACCGTATTCTATAGAAATGTCATCTTGGGTTCAGTCCTTCAGCTGGCCAGTGAGGCATCAGGGGCAACCAAAAACTTGGCACTTGGGTGTCTCTTTGGGCAAAGTGAAGCATACAATTTGAGGGAGCAACCAGAAGGGCATGTGTGGACCCCTCTCCAGAGGACTAGTTTGGCCTCCTAGGGAGCAATTTGGGCCAACCAAAAGGGAACTTGGGCTAGTCCTACCCCTAGCACAAAAATAAAGCATGGACATCCAAGGCACTTGGGGGCCACTAGGGCTAAATAGAGGGACCCCTGGGCCTCACACAGGGTCATTTGGGCTCCTCAAGTGCCCCTCTAGAGTGACAGGACAAATCACATATATAGCATTATCCCAATAGAACAAAGACATCCCTGTTTGAAAAGTTACTTTAGTACTCAGATGTGCACACAACTGGACATGATTGATTTTGCCACTCCGTGTTGTTCTCTAAAAGTGTCAAACAGTCAGCAATGAGTCACGGTGTAATCATTTGCACTGTGTGCCTAAGCCGACCCTGGGTCTTGCTGTAAGTAAGGGAACTGAATCAGGCAGGTATGACATGACACTTTTCTCTTGCCTCCATTAATATCAGCAAGAGCCTGGGATGATGCACAAGGGATGAGCAGACACCTACACTATCCTCGGTCCCATTCAATTTCTCCCTCTCATTCCCAGCACACTACAACCTGACAGACAGTGTCCCCAAGCCCCAGCAAGACCCAGCCTCCAACATAAATAATCACTAAAAAGCAGCATGACAGGTCTTAGTCACTGCAAGAGATGTGGCCTGTTCTACAGCACTAGCCAATTACAGTGAACATCTAATGATAAAGGATATATAGTTCAGGAGTTACTGCATCAAGCCTGAAGGCTGTGGTGGTAAAATAATGACTTTGGGAAGCTGATAAGCTGTTCCTGTCCAACTGCAGCCTGTATCATTTCAGTAACGACAGGCATTCAGCGTGGCATACAATATTTTCATTTTGGTATGCTGTAAAATGACAAGACTCGTGGATGAAACAATTGAAGGTCCTATGTAATGGTAGCAACAGAATACTGTCAAGTCCTGTTATATTTAAATGTCAAACACTTCTGAGTTGTAAATACACTTGTGGAAGGGGGGAAACAAATTCCCAAAGGATCATGAGCTTTAAACCCCCGATGGATCTGAAACACCCTTAGTGAGTAGCTCCTATCCTTCTCTGTTGACAGAGCTCAATAAATAATAGCTGATCCTTTGTTCTAATCAAAAGGCTTCTTGTTCATGATGGAGGGTGCATTACAAGAGGACGGGTGTTTTCCTCCTTCGTATAAGCACTCTATTCACTTTCTCAGCTGGTGAACGCTACATTCTTGTTTTCCCATTTGTAACATCTGCACCTCTGAATTTGCATCACATCAGCTGAGATAATTAGAAACAGGAGCAGGTGGTACACTACGAGAGGAATTCATTGACTTTTGTAAGTCAAGCTGTTGCTCTTTGTAACACTGTGTCTCTCTATTTTAAGACCAACTCCTTGGAGTTATAACACTCTCGAAAATGTGAACAGCAAAGGGCTGAACCATGAAGCTACATGTTATGCAACGTTTTTTCCAGGGCAGACTTGGCAACTTGACCTCCCATATGAATAGTCTCTTTGCTTTCTCTCCGAGACTGGTTAGCTATGAGACATGACTGTCAGAGTTCAAACATTGGTTTAAACCAAGTGCGTATGCGAGCACTTAGGGAAACAGGCAGCTGCAGCAGGGGATCAAAGGTAGCTCACTGAGAGGCTCTGCTGGCTCACAAGAGAGGAACTGGAGACAACCACATTTAAACACATAGGGTGCCCTGGAGCCTAATGAGTGAAAGGTGCTGCTGCAGTCAAGCTGCTGTAGGTCAGACTGATAGTGGTTAGGGAATCAAGGCTGGGGTGATGCCTTTCCTTACTCTCCATAGCTGTCTGACTGCCTGTTCACCACTAAAAGAATGCACTTACCAGGCGTTGTGACATGGGAGTCTTGTCGCCCGCAGGTAGATGCTGCTCCAGGGCCAAGACGATGCAGTTGGCAATAATTGTAGCCAGGATCATGTACTCAAATGGAGTGTGAGGGTTAAGGAGCAAGTGAAAGTGGGTTTTAATTCATTTCATAGCTAAATCATAAGTATTATTCTTTATTATATGTGTTAAGACCTTTTCAATCTGATTTTTTTGTTCTTTGTTCTTAATCAGAAGTACAGTTTTTAAACAATGAAATAAGGATGCCCACTCATGGCACACAGCAGTACATTGTACAGAAAAACAAATAACAGACTATGAATGCCAGTAAACTTAAAGTTGGATGCAATTTGTCCACTAAAGCATAAGCCTTCCATCATGTTCTGGTCAAAGGATTTCTAGAAAGAAAGCATCCTGTAGAGTACATGTGTACATGTTCCTTCCAGATGGCTGACCATCTTCAACTATTCTCAGTGGCTGGCTCATTCTGCAATTTCCGTTTGCAGTAGGCCAGTGCCTGCAGGTCAGTGTCTACCATGGGCCTTATAAGAGAAACAGGGAACATAAAGCCAACATGTAGAATTATTACCCATAAGACACCCAACTCTCCTGATTATGTAAACACAACACTGGTGTCTAGGGTGTAATGTTGGCTTTTACTTAGTTTCTGTTATGATTTTCAGATTCCTGTGGGTTTTTCTTCTTTATTTTGGTCCCATGTAGAGGGAAGCTCAGCTCATCAAGGGCACAGATACCTTGATAGCATTGTTATTCGCTAACAGCTAAAGTCGTTCTCACGTCACCCACAGATCCAGTTGTCTTCTTGCGTTTGTCACACAAGCTGCTGCTTTCCACATTTAGCCACTGCACTGCAAAAAGATAATCATTACCTTCAGCCGAGTCTGAAAAGCTTATCTCATGAAAATAAGAACAGTGATTCCGACCTGATATTATATTTGTTTCCCCATCCAAATCACCTGTTCTGGGACTTTAACTGCATTAACTGTGTTCCAGCCTTATTTTACTGGAAAATGTTGTCCTATGAAAACCAGAATGTTAATTTTAACTTTTTACAGCCTGGTTTGAAATTTGGTGACAATTCATTTTTAAAGACAATCCATTAGTCTTTTCAGGGACTGTGTGAGCAGCCTGACATCGGAATTCACATTCTCACTGGCTTTAAAATACTTTTTTACTAAATGTAATTTCCCTAATGTTTCCTTGTTACTTCAAGACTTGAGATTTCTCCACACTGAATAATGTCACCTAATGACATTATCACTCTTTCAAAAAAGAAAACACTATGGTTTGACGGGTGACAAGGACTCGCCGAACTGGACTTTGTTTTTTTTTTGTTTTTTTTTTTTTGCAGTGCTGAAAAAGTGGCATGGAGCGGTGCGCGTGGGCGCCTTCAGCACCATGGAGAGGGCTCCCAACTTAGACAACGAGGCGGTGCTGCAACCTTGGACCATGCAGAGCTTTCTTCCCACCACGATGAACTGCGCTTTTTCTTAACAATTGCAAGACTTTACAAGAGAACATGGGGAGTGGAGGGCTGCCAGTGAAAACGGCAGGTACCCTTACGGCACCCGCCTTTTAACCACGTTTAAATCAACAGCAATGTTTGGTCATTATTAACTACGAGGCTGGGATTGCTGTCCATGCGCGGTCAACAGGTTACGGGGGACATTTACACAAAAGAACAGCCGATGTGGGTGCCCAGAGGTTCTAAAGTGAATAGAAAAGGCAACACAACAGGAGGATGCGTATTTTTTTCACTGCCAGTACCTACTGAGAAAACATCTTTGTGGCATGGGTAGCGCAGATAAGAAGCAGAGGGACAGGAGCAGTCACCACTGCGCGCGGAGGAATAAAGAAAGATAATGTAGTGGCTACAGCACGGGCTGACATAACGTATCACTCAAAGGCATGGGTGGATTTTCACACCCTATTGAAAGCACTTAATGTTATTCACATCAGCACAGAAACTGCCTGACAAACATGCCTGCAGGTGGTGTGGGTGTGTCTATGTGTGGGGTTGCCGTGCAAGAACAGACAATTAAAAACAAGGTTGCAGGCTCCAGGGGCACCTGCTCTGTGCGTGGTGCTACTGGTCAGGAAGGATATGGCCACTCTGTTATTCGCTTTGCATACTTCCGGATGAGATTGTCCTCGCGGAAGATGAAGAGGGAGCGGTTGACAGTGAGGCAGTTTTGTTTGACAGGGTTCGGGTTGTAAATGGCCATTGTCCGTGCTCTCTGGGCCATCGACTGCTTGTACATCCTCTGGCCGGCCGGAGCGCCACCACCACGGGCTCCCCCTCTCCCAGCGCCCGGCCCACCTCTTCCTCCGCCGCCTGCGCTTCCTCCATAGCGGGTGGGTAGATCATCTGCAAAGCGAGCCATTCTGGAAACGCACAGATCCAAAAGGGAAAATCCAAACTGCTGTCAGTGTTAATGGAGGAGAGACGCATCACAACAAACACACTTCATCCAAACCACAGCTTAGCGTGAGAGTGCAGAGAGAGCGCTGCGTTTGGAAAATGAAAAAAAACAGCTGGCCTCATTGAAAACAATGTTCTCTTGATCCTTTCCATTCATTCATTTTCAATGACATTTAAAACACGTTTTAAGCAATAAAGCACTAAGGCTATACAAGCTGTACAAATATTCACTTCAGTGAAGCTGCTGCATCCATACCAGCCGGGCACTGAGTGCAGAAAAATCAGGCTTAAATAAAATCATATCAGCATGTCTCTGTCCAAAATCCTGACAGCATTGTGGCAGCATCCAAACGCCAGTTGAAACGCTCAGGGTGTCAGTCAAAATGAGCCGGAGGCGTCAGAAAACACTGAAATCCCTCGTTTCCTTTTTCCAGCTGAAAGCAACAGTAGAACAAGCCAATCCAATGCGAGCAGTTGTCGTGTGGTTTCTGTTGGATCGCTCGCTGTGTGGGAGATGAAAGCTATATAGCAAGATCTCAGAGGAATAAGGAAGAGCGCATGTGACCAAAATAAGCCTATTGGTGACTGGAGCGCACAGGCGCGCTCACCGTCTCTTGGCTGGTTACGAGAGACCATAAAACTACTGACGTCCAGGAAAGCCTCGCTAGTCAGTGTTAATCTTTTTTAGCATCAAAACACGGTTTTTATACAGGTGATAGCGTATAAAAGATGATGTGCGCCTTCAAGAGCAATGTGTTCCGTGGTAAGGAATTAACATCATTCAAAGACCATTTTGGCAGTTTACCACGTGCCTTTGAATAAAAAACGTCTTAGTAGTCTCAATATTGTTTTCCCATCGTTCTTGTATTTCTATTCAAAGCCTTGTGTTTTGTTGAAATTTGCTTTTCCCTGCTTAGTGTTGGGTGCTCCACAGACACCGCTGCTGATGCGTAAACATAATGAGTGCAACGTTTCCTTTAGTTTTGTTTTCCTCTGACCTTTAAAAAAGACATAAATCAGTCAGATTGACATTAGACATTAATGTGTTAGACTTTAATGTGTTAGTAATGCAGTTTAGTAAGATTCAAAGTCTGCTCTAGTCTGCTCTGCTTCAAGGTTAGCAGTAAGCCATGACACCAATTGTTTTCTTGTATTAATCTTGTCTTAGATTTATTTCTCAATGATTGTTTTAGTTACGCACCTCACCTCTCTGGTAATATTAATGCTGTAAGAAAGAGGTAAGGAGGAACCTTATGGGTGAGTGGCTCACTGTGGTGAGAGTTAGAGTGAAAGTTTGCTAAAAAGAAAAAAAAAATGTCAGGAGAGATTCTTTCATAGAAGATGTAGAAGTACAGAGGTGTGTGTGTGTGTGTATGTGTGTGTGGGGGGGTACATTTACATGTGTGCACGGGCCCTGTGTGTGGGTGTATTTGTGCATAGAGGAACAGAAATTTTTTTTTTTAAATAAACCAGCACTAAAATCCAGAAAGACGGACTCCTTCCTTACTCAGATCTGTCCAATAAAAGAACTGGGGTATAACAGCATAGGAAAGCATTAAAGGGACAACCTTTTCCTTTACCTCTAAGTAGACTGACACATTTAATGAATGTGACAAATTATGGAAATGAAGACAAAACTTCACACCAAATAAAGAAATATGAGGTTTTTATCAGTTACATGGACTATGAATGAATAAATACATTTTTAACCAAACAACACTGCATGCCACAAGTCATTCACAGATCCAGTATGCATGGTGACATTACAGGTCTTAACTCTGGCTCACAATTCTTATTAAAAACCTTTTTTTTTTAAGGAAAGAATGGATGAAGCAGGTATCACTGCTTCATCCACTGTGTACAGTCTGTTGTATTTAACTTCCTAGATGTTGTATATTATCTTCTATTTACCATTTGGTCCTTGTTTGATTTTATACATGTATGCTGCTCGGTCAGGTCACCACTGTTAAGGAGGCGTTGAGGCTCAGTGAGTTTCCCTGGTAAAGCACCGATTAAATAAATACAGTACATAAAAATAACCCTGTCTATTCCAGCTGAGGTTTCAGAGACCCCAAACAAATGATGGCTCATAAAATAAAATAAAAAATTGTCTTTAAATATAAAAGTGGCAAAACTATTTTAAATGTTTTGCTACTTTTATAGATTTCCTGGTCTGCAAGACACCAGGTGTTGTTCCGCAGAAGCTCTGGACATCAGAACAACTCACTAACTTTGCACAGAAACTCATCAGAGCAGCAGTTTACCTTCTAACTGTGATGGTGTTAAGTCAGGTGCTGTTCCGCAGAAGCTCTGGGCATCTGAGCAACTCACTAATTTTGCACAGAAACTCATCAGAGCAGCAATTTACCTTCTAACTGTGATGGTGTTAAGAAAAAACGATGGTTAAAAAAAAAAAAATGCAGATATGACCTTTGCTGGTTTGAACCATATGACTGCTCCCCAGCCGCAGCATCAGTAACCTGCCCGGAAGCCGACTGTCTGTTCTAAATACGACTTGTAGATTAGTTTGAGTGCTTTCTATGTTCATTATTCCCAGATAAATAAACTGTGTGAATGCTGATTACATTCAACAAAACATATCTATCTAATCAAACTGGCTCAGTAGCTTTAAATAAGTGAGAAAATGTATTATTTGGTTTATAACTCCCAGGTGTTCAATCACACAATGTCAGCTGCATTATATGATGATTGGAATTACAGGAGAAAGGTGGTAAAGGTTGGCGATGTTGCCAGTAAACTAGTGAGAAACCCACATAGATAAGAACAGCTCTGCACATCACACAGGAATATTCACATCTCTTTCCACCCTGATAGAAAATACATAAGTCATAGATTTCCCAGGCAGTTGGCTCGCTCAGTTTTAATGCTAAATTTCAGTACTTAGGTTATAGTGTATAATATACTGTATATAATGTGTATGTGTTTAATGTCCTATGCTGTTCCTGTATGCTATACATCAGTTAGTTATTTATCATAGGGAGGAAATAAATAAGCCATGTTTATGGCTGCTACAAAGTCTCACAGGCCACTATAAATTTAAATAAAAGCCTGTTCAGATGTACACTAATTACCGTTGGGAATGTTTTGTGCGGTGCGTTTACCGGAAATGATGGTAACCCGATTTATAAAATGAATTACAATGCAGCGTCCAAACTATTTGGACTTACTTACTTAGTCACTTAGATGATTGTTTTCATTTAGCAGTAACCAGGTTTCTTTTGTTATTTGTTTTTCAAGAGTAACCAGTGTCCTTACTGCAGGACTTGACTCAAGCTTCATCTGGTTGAGAGTCACCACCTGATAATATTCAGATTCCAAAAAAAAAGTTGTATTTGGGTATTTTACAGATAAAAAAGTAGTATTTAATAAATAATCGAAAATTATTTCCACTGATAGGTATGCAAAACTGGAGTGCCCACATAGTTTTGGCCAGATAGTGCAAGTTCTGATACTGTGCTGTCAAAATAAGACGTCTTTTCAGAAGGCAGACGCAGCTTTAGACAAAATCCTACCATTTATTCATGAACATATATGTGTATGTGAGTATGACACCAACAGTATCTGACAAATCTTTATAACCTTAGACTTTGCTTAATTTAATGCCGGTGTTGTTCTATGTTCAGTCTGTTCAACCAGTAGTTAACAAAAGTCACATCTAACTAAAGACCATTTATTTATAAATTGATTCAGCCTTATTTTGCTCATTACTAATTTAGCATCTATAGTATAAGTCATCATCACCTGCAGCCATTTTCTTTAATATAAAAGCTCCAGATGTGACAGAGGAGCCATCTAGTGTGGTTGTTCATGTACTGCAACAAGAATGAAAAATGAACCAGTGTTTTGTGCTGATATTTTTGCAGAAACTGTTGTGGATATAGTGATATTCCCTTTTTAAATAAAATCCCCAGTAGAAAAATACCCAGACAACTGGGGTGAGTTAAAGGACTGTTTGTGTTAATCATGTGAAAAGTGGTGCCTGCCTTTACCAAATGTTTATTATCCAGAGGTGAAATTACTGGCTGGACAAAGTGAGTAACTGCCCCGGTGGGTTTCAGTTATTCGACCTAAACTAGAAACACTTTTTAGCATAATGCAGTACAGTCCAGTGCCACAAAACCCTCCCATAAAATGACCATACAGTTCAGTCAACACCTCACAGAGTTTGAACAAAACCTGAACACTAATCACCTTCATTATAAATAAGGATTTATGGGAAGACTAGACTGCATAATCTTAACTAGAGGTGTAGCAAATAAACTGCCAACACAGAGTATAATGACTGTGGTTTCTGATGGGACTTACTTTAACTTACCTAGAGGGTCCCAGTCTTGTTGAGGGCCCCCAGCTTCAATATGGTGAAGATTCCTGAATTACATTTATTAGCAAATCAGGAGCTGGCCAGTTTAACCACAGAACATTTCACACAATGGAAAGAGAGGGGGGGTAAACAGTGGCCTGGCCTAGCAGTTTTATCTGGACATGACAAGTGGGGATGGTGAAGCTTATCCACACTTTAGTACAATTTACTGCTTGTCTCGTTTACTTTGACTTGTAATTAGGCATTTCACAGAGTATTTTGTGTTTGCTATGCCTCACCTGCGGGGCCACCGTGTGCTGTTCAGGGCCTCATGTTTCCTGACGATGTGACGGACACCATGACTCCTTCCCGCACTGCTCAGTCTGTCAAGCTGTAAAACAGCATCATACTTCTGCAGTGTCAGTGTCAGCAGCTCTCCATGACAGCTCTTCTGGGTCTCCAGAGCAGGTGTCCTCCATCCCCTCCACGGGCAGCGGTTCCTCCTCTCCTCGGTGACCGCAACTTTGCCTCCTGTCAGGTGATGGAGCCCAGATATCCTTGTACTCTGCCCCCAGAGTCAACATCCTCCAGGAGCCGAAGGTGGCAGCACGCACCACTGGTGGGGAAAGTGTTTAATACACAAACAGAAGAAATCACCAGTGCGTCTTGAAATCATAAAAATCCAAACCAAACCTGGTTTGAGCATCACAACACTCGCAGTGCAAGTTGAATCTAAAAGTTTATTTGGCCTGTGCAGAATTAGGGCCATTTGAGTCCAATTTAAAACAGTCAGCCCAAGGCTACAATGAAACTGCGCCCCGGTCCCAACAGTGAAATTAGTTTAAAGTTGGATACTATGCAGACATTTGGCACAAAAGGCCTCCGGGCAACCACCTGCCATGAATAGACAGCAGGGCCTCACCTACTGCAGCCACCACATGAGCGCACTGAGTTAGGGACCGTCTGTAAATTAAATGAGCGGTTTTCCAACACCTATATGATGGCTTGCTGGATGTTTAATTTTAAAAATCTGCCATCTTAATTGTGAATTTGTCAATATGTTAACTTATATAAATAGTAATCAGAAAGGTTTTTATTAGTAATTTATAATTAGTTAACATTAATATTTTTTTCTGTTTCCAAGTCATGTGACTTGGAAACAAGAGTACAATAGATTAACGTGTTCACATGGCTGAGAAACTATTGAAATATACACATGCCAGCCACTTTATTAGGTACACCTTGCGATTCAATGCAACACTTCCACCTTAAAATCTGTTTATGAATCTCAAAATGTGTTTGGTTTTGGTGAAATTGTCAAAAATTATAAATATTTAATATTGAGGTCATAGTTAAAGGTGGTGTTGGACTGGACTACATTATATTCAGGGATGTCTATATTTTTGTCCTCCCTGGTTACACACATGAGAAGGTCAAAATATTAGGAACATCTCTGAATATATTGTAGTCCAGTACAACACCACCTTTAACTAAGGCCTCAATAATAAACATAATTCAATTTATACATTTTTGACAATTTCTCCAAAAACAAACATTTTGAGCTTCACAGATGTTAGAGGCCCATGAGTGTATATTTAATATCCTTATTAGAACACATAATATGCAAAGCACTAATATTTGACATGTGCAAGGCATGTGGTTGAATATTTTAGAATAGACTTTGAACCTGAACATTACTTGGAAATGATTGAAAACAAGGCGATTAATGATGAAAGTATTAATAATCATTTATTGATCAAAAAATGTTCCTGATGATTTTTATGTAAATTGACTGACAAATTCACAATCAATGCAAGATTTTTTTTAATATTAATTCTAAAGGCAAGCTGTCATATGTGTTGAAAAACCAACTAATGTAACATTTCACCTGGACATGTGCAGTGCATATTCATTTTGGGAACCACTGATTTGAGATCCCAGTAAACCCAAGGGCTTTTACTCAGGCTCTGGTTCCCTGATGGTTATTACTTCAGTAAAGAGATGCAAAGAGAGGTTTTAAGAGCGAGGATGAACATACCATAAACCACAGTAGATCGTCTCTCTGCTCATCTGGAGTAGTGAGGGACTGCTCTCTTCATAACTGCTTTCCAGGATTACTGAGATAAATCCAACTGAAAAGTGCAGTAAAGCAGCTCTTTGACACTTACACACTTCATTTAGGACTGCAAACAGTAGGCTTCCGTGTAAGGCACCAGAGCAGGTAAACCAAAGACCAAAAAGAAAAAGTATCTCCCACTTTGGAATGTAGAAAGCCTGCTTCCTGTCCTGCCAGTTAAGAACCCCGTTATCAGACCAACCATCCTCGATGCTCAAGGAGAAATTTCTGTGATTCAATTAACGACTCTGTTTTCGCTGTCTGCCCTGGTAATCAGGAAGGGAGCAATTATCAGCCAGTGGATGACGCTTGAAAGGCCTGCAGATGCACAGTCACTCACTTCCTGCTGTTTCTGTTCTCCTCCCTGGTGCTACAGGGGACATTTGAAATCCAAACCCACTGGGTGTTTTGTTACTACAACAGCTGATAAAATTCCTGTTTTTACAACTTTCTTCTTTTATTTGGGTTAAGATGCAGAGGTGGAAATAAATACTGTAAGTACAATTATTCAGGCGAGGACTTCGGTTTGTGACCAGATACCTGAAAAAAGTGACACCTCCATCAGCCTCAGGTGTTTAGGGCTAACACTATGAGTTCTCTGCAACATACTGACAGACAATCCTGTTCACAGCAGACACTTTGACCTGTCATGGTAGAAAATGCCCACTTAAAACTATTTTCTTTAACAACAGTCGCTCCAGAAAGCTATGAAAGTGAGCAAATATGTACAATTCCAGGACTCTTCAAGTAGCTCATCTACTTATACCATAGGAATGCTAAACGTGTAAGTGACTTGTCCATTGTCTTGAAATGAGGTCTAATCAGGCACATAAGTGAGAACAGCTGTGTGGAGAGATCACAGCTTTTTGTAAGGTATTAAATAAAGCTACTTTAATGTATGCCTTTTTCAGTGAATGTGCCTGTGTGCAAAACAACCTTTAATCATTTGATAATCCCTTTGGGGGTAACACCTGTGTTTTTGATTGGAAACTGAGTTTTTCTTAATCTGTAATGTTAGCTGTAATGGAGTATTGCAGCTTTGATCCGTTTGACAAGAACTCTTGTAATGGAGCAGCTTTGATCCGTTTGACAAGAACTCTTCTCTTCAGCAGATCTTCAAAATAACAGCACAAACAGGCTGTGAAAATTTAAACTCATTAAGCAAAGCGAGTGTGGGAAGTGTCAGTCGCTCTGATGCCACAGCTGCTCAAAAATTTCAGCGCCAGGCTCCAAGTCTGTCTGTCAAAATGGAGCTGCAGGATCAAACTGTCTGCAGGCTTCACTTTGAGGATTTTTCAGTATCGTTTGTGGATGACAAGATGAGCAGCTAAAAAAAAAAAGTAAAAGATCTCACCCTGGACCCAAATAAAAATCTGTGTTGTGATGTTTAAATTCAGCAGCAACATTTTCAAGTAACAAGAGAAACTGCACTGAGAAAAGCATATCAGAATAAATGCATTAGTAGTAAATTTATTGAAAAAGTTACAACCAATTAGATGAATGGTTCACAGTCCAGAAATATGTAACAGAACATAATGGAAGTGCATTTTTACAACCCTTTTCCTGTATAATTTTCAAGACTTTGCACAACAGTCACTGCTTACTAACAACAAAGGCAGGTCGGCTTCTGTCGGCAAAATCATGAAACAAAATTAAAAACAGGCTAACTACAGTTACAGTAACTACAATTAGAAAACTGGAGATAAAATTAAACATAAAAAACTTAAAACATCCTTTTATTTTACAAACTATGTTCACTTGGGTAATAAAAAAACAAAAGTAAAAACCTTTGTCAGCACCATTTTCTTGTTTTTCTACTCCGTTGGTTTAATCAAATCTTCCACAACTGTGGCAAAATATCTGACACATTAAGATCCCCTTAAACATGCTTAATAAAAAGTTCAACCAAGCTATTCAGACTAGAAACACCACATTTCAGGGGAATGGTACAGAACCCTTCTACCAGACATTCCATACTCACTGGAGTAGCTCATTAAAATAAGTCCACTTTTTCCATGTCATTTCAGCTAATTAATCAATTTATATTCAGCTGTGGTGGAAAATGGGCATTCATTCAAATACTGTGATAAAGATGAAGTGACACAAAAAGTGGCAAGATAATTTAATATTTATCAGCTAATTTTGCTGGAATGGTTCATGAAAAATGACCACAAAGGTCAGTTAACCCCAGCTGTGTGCTGAGGTTGTCTTTGCAAAAGACGACGATACACTCGCCCCCCAACCCCAAAAGGTCTTGATCATGACTAAGAAATTTTGATAATGTCAACCAAGTGGCTTAAAAAAAGACAAAGACAAAATGCACAGATCGCCTTCCCAGTACAGTTACATATGAAGTGTAGAGTCTAGCATAGTCCCCGTGATGCTTGCTGTGCGTGACATCACTGTCCCCTGCTATTCATGTTACACAATGTGCAACAACAGAGCAGCAACTTCTTCCACCATTTGATTGTGCATCTGGGTCTGTGTCGCAATATTTCTCATGAAGACTGATGGTCCATTGTTTTACTCAGAAGTGGAGATACAGTACAAGTGCACTGTCCACGGACAATGGAGGCAGGCGTCCCTGCATGTCCTGTTTGTGTAGCCAAGCTTAGTATGAGGAGAGCTTTATGAAGGACTGGACGGACTGTTGGAAGAGCTGGTGTCAGGTGATGCGCTGGGCTGCTGCTGGTCCTCCGGTGTGCTGTCCGCCTGCAGCGATGCCGTGGCTGCTGACGAATACTTGCATTTCGAAGAACCACATTCGCAGCTGAACAGCTTGCTTTTGACTTCCCAGAAGTGGTCACCGTAATTAAATCTGAGGGGGCAGGATGAGAAGCCACATGATTACAGAGAAACACTGGCAATTAATCAGAACCTGCCTTTATCTCACACCCATGGCTGAGAAAACCCTTCCCTTAAACATTCACTGCTGCCACACTGAGGGAGACAGGTTTAATAAAGTCACAAGCTGCTGTCTCCAAAGCTCTGAGCTGGCTGTGTCTTAGTGTGAAGTAGAATCTCAATTTTAGATTTAAGAATAAAGATTTCACCATGTTTCTCTCATGACTGCTACCTTTGTCTAGGACACTGTATAGGAGCCTTTCCCCAAGGCCGCTAAATCGAAGATATGAATGTTTAGTGATGGTCCTCTCATAAGATGTAGGGTTAAGATCCATCAGTTGGGAGCTGTTTCTTTATGATGATCATTTTGACATGCACTGCTGTATGAACCTTTCATGCTCTCTGGCCAGAGTAAACAATATAATTTGGAAGACAACTGTTCTGAGCTTCTCTTCTTCTTCAGGAAGGAGATATGCTCTGTCTCCTTCCTGAGCGGTATGATGGCTGCGTTGTCCCATGGTGTTTATACTTGCGTAGTATTGTCTGTACAGATGAACGTGGTACCTTCAGGCATTTGGTAATTACTCCCAAGGATGAACCAGATAATGTCAGTTAACCTATTGCAAGCTTCTAAAGCCATGACATCATTTTCCAGAATTCTCCAAGCTGTTTAAAGTCACAGTCAAGTGAGTGTATGTAAACGTCTGACCAGTGAAATAGTGAGTTATAAATGAAATAATCTATCTGTAAACAACTGTTGGGAAAATTACTTGTGTCATGCATAAAGTACATGTCCTGCCCAACTTGCCACAATGAGATTTTGTTAACATGACATCTGTGGAGTGGTTAAAAAAAAAATCTGTTTTAATGACTTCAACATAAGAGTATGTAAACTTCTTACTCTATACATCACACATGGATTCTTGACATGATGACAAACAACTGTCTTACCCGAGCTCCTCTCCAGCCTTTATGTTTTCACTGGCAAAAAAGGCAATGTGTGGGAAACGAAGGTCCTGGTGTGTTGTGAACACTCGACAGGCAAACAAGTTGGGCTCGCACATGTGATTGAGAAAGCGACTGATGTTTCCATAGAAACGGGCATCAATGCAGTACAGGTCTTGTGGCTAGGAGGGAGAATAAATGATATGTTCAAACAGAATAAAAATAAGTTGCAAGTGCGCAGCTGAAGGGAAAATCCTAAATTAAACCAAGGTTACAAGTTGTTATATAAAGAACATAATGTTACAGTCCTAGATAGAAAAAAGACAAAGACTCACTGGTCAAAATATTTTAAAAAATATTAATCATATACAAATTAAATAATGGCTTAAGAAGGACAAGGAATAACCAGTAAATTATCAAAGTAAAAGTTTTAATAATATTTACACCTGTTGCAATTTTAGAACTACGCTTCAGTGTAAACCTGCATTTCCAAATGGTCATATTTTACCTTATCATCTAGGCTGAACAGGTAAGCATCATTTTGCCTCATCTCTGCTTCTGCGTCAGAGATTATCTCGCCTACATACCTGTTGAGAAATAAATGACCCGTCAGTGGCAGTATACATTACAAGGACATTTTAATAATGATACATTTACTGATACTGAATCTTTTCAATGAACAAGCAACAGTGCCAAATATGAGCACGTGTACACTGTCGCCAACAAACAGTGCACAATGAAATGCCTTTACGTCTGTAAGAGCTGTGGGTTTGCCTTAAAACCTGACCCGACAACATGTCAACAAACTGGCTATACCTACAAAGCAGTCACAAAAACCAAACAGTAAATGAGTCAACAGCGAGTTCAACACTTGACCAAAGAAAACGTACAACTTTCATGACGTCAGCTGACAGTCACAGGGTGTGTCACCACAATAATTAGACTTTGAAGTGTTGATCATCAATTATTACATCACTAGAAAGACATTATGTAATTGATGCACATAATGAGAGAAATTTTTATTAACCACATGCAGAAAAAAGCAGTGGAGGATAAGAAGCAAATGTAGAGAAAGATAAGAATGGCAGATAGAAAAGGATTTGTTGCCAGGGGCAGATAAACACTGGCAGGCAGTCAAAGAGAAAACACTGTTATCAAGAAAAACCTCTTTCATGCTGCCAAGAACTACACTTCTCTTGAAAAAGAAAAATAAAAATACTTCAAGAAATAAAACTCCAGTCCATCCCTGGTTATCTGACTGATCCAGACACAGACAGCTGGAGTCCAAAAAAGTGGAGAGGTTGGGAGAATGGGGTATTAACCACAAATATCAAAATATCACAAAAAACAATACTAATTGCTCTAGGTAGAATAAAATGAATCAATTAAAGTGAGCTAAAAAATATTCAATTAGTAGAATAGGAATAGGAGAGGAGTTGGCAGATGGCCGGTGTGAGAAGCCAAGGTGAGGAAAGGCCAAAAGGGTTTGTTCTGGTATTGTTAGCGGGGAACACTGTTAAACTGCAACAAGAAAATCCCAACCACCCACTTTCCCAAAAATGAGGGGATTTTAGAAGAAAGAGGAAAAGTGTGGAAACAAAGAGGATAAAAACAGCTGCTGGAGAAAAAAGGGTTGCTGCTGACAAGAGTGTAGCAGGAGATTTCCGTATGTTGGAGGTTTCTGGCGGTTATGAAGGAAAAAAGGGGAGGTTTACAAAACGGGAGGGTCTGACAGTGGTTCTTAAATGCATCATCCAGTTAGACTGCAGCTCAAGGGTAGACAAAATGCCTTTACCAGCCAGTGGAAGAAGTTTAGTTTATG